TCAGTGCAATATCATTCTTTACATTAGACACTGGGCTATTTAATTGTCCTGGAGAGGAATTTCCTCCACAGTGGCTGGAAATGTTTGGACCATGTTTGATTTGGGGGCCTGCAAGAGGCCCCCTGAGGTGTTTCCCACTGGTAAAGTGTTGCCTCGTATATCTATTATTGATCTGCACTCATTGGTCCAATGTTGGCCTTTGCTGCATCTTCTACATAATCCAGAAGTTTGGGGTCTTCTGTTTTGGGTTATTTCTACAAGGAATATTTCTAGGAGCACCCTATGTGCAGTTTTTACTTATATGACCTGATGTACAACAGTTAAAATATTTGGTAATCTGGGGCCTTCTTTCACCTCTGGAAATTACCTTTCCTGTCCAAGCCTCATTACTATGGTTAAGAGACTCAACACTGATTGTATACTGAATCCATTCTTCCAAAGGAGCTGATCTGACCTTTAATGGCATAGGTATTCTTTTGCATTCTGTATTAGCATTGTCAAATGCCAAGGACCCAGTTAACACTTGTTTTAATTCTTTATCTAACAAAACTTTTGTTAAAGCTGTGGTCAGCTTTTGCAAAAAAAAAAAAAAAAATCAGCAAAAGGTTCTTGCAGTCCCTGGAATATCTTTGGGTATACCTCAGTTGGTTTTCCTGGTTCTGAAATTTTTTCTCCAAGCATTTAGTGCTGCTGTATGGCATAGGGATATTGTATGCTCATCATAAGTGGCTTGCACATTCCTATCAGCAAAACATCCCTCACCAAGGATTTGATCTTGGGAAATCTCATAACTTCTGATCTTACCTTGTTGTTCCAGATTCCTTGCCTCCTTTTTCAACCAGTTTTTCCATTACAACTGCTGGCTATATTCTATAACAGCTGAAGCTAACTGATTCCAGTCATCTGGTATGATTCTATTTGAGGTAAACTACAAATTTAACATTTGTCTTACAAATGTTGAGTGTATGCCATACGTGACTACCGTTTCCTTCATATTTTTTAAAATCTCTCATTGGAATAGGTTGTAATGTATGTTCTACACATTGCTCAGGATGTCTATCATCTGCTGGCCTCTCACAGATGATGACAGGATAAGCCATTGTATGAGAGCCATCTGGAGATATTATGAGCTGTATGGTCTTGCCTTTCTGCTTATTAGGTCCCTTGTCATTTTTACTGAGAGTTTCTTCCAGGGCTTGCAAATGAGCACCTAGGGTCTGTCCTAGTGAGTGAACCTCCTCTGTTGCAAGGGATTCCAGATTTCTCATGGAATCATGCAACCTTTTATGTTCTTCTGAAACACATGATTCCATAGACCTTATTTTATCAGTTAATGATAATCTTTCTTCCTTATAAAGTGTCTGAGCAGTGACAACATCACCCTGGAGAGCTGTTGTTCTATCCATTAAGTATTCATATTTCTTATCAATAAAATCAAATCCGTTTGTACATTTATTGTTAATGGACTGAATTTCTTGTAGTAAGTTAGCAGATTCCAAACTAAGGAGCCTGTTATGTAAGTCTCTATTACTAACTTGTAAATCCTGGTTAGCAGATTACAGATAAATAATTTTTTTATGTAAGTTTTTATTACTACCTTGTAAATCCTGGTTAGCAGATTCCAGAGAAAGAATCTGTTTATTCAAGTCTTTATTAGTACCTTGTAATTTTTGGGTAGAAGATTCCAAGAATCTTTTTATGTAAATCTTCATTGCTACCTTGCAAAGCCTGTCTCAGTCTCAATAATGACTCATCTTCGTTATTATTATTAAACTAGTTTTTCAATGCTATGTGAATTATTATGGTAAATGCCAAAATGATGTATACCAAATAAGTCCCAGGAAGGTTGTATATTTCCTGAAAAATCTCATTTGTCATACAAGGAAAAAAAATTCTTAAATCCTTGTGAAGTACTATTTTCTGCCATGTTTTGAGAAATATTCAAAATTTGTAAAGGAAATTTTATTAATTTGTTTATTTATTAATCAGTTTTAAAGTGTAAAATTATCAAGTACTCTTACCTGGAATGAAAAACTGGTTTCCTTGGTCCTTGCAATGGTTTTTGGGTGTAGTAGGCTGTTCAGCAAGCAGGTGTCACTGGTGTAGCGCTAAAGCAGGTCTGGTGCAAACTGACTGAGGTCCCTGAATGGCTCTTGTGAATTTAAGTGCTCACTCAGGCAACCCTTGAGTACTAGGAAGGGTTGCTGGGACCACAACAGATTATACACAACAATGAGGCAATACACCAATGAGCTGGAAGCCCTCAGGCACAGGTATGCACCTGGCAGGAGCCACCTGTCTGGTTGGTGCTATAGGGCTGGTGACAGTGGGCAGGGGTGGCAGATCCCTGGCCCAGGACACAGAAGTGTGAGCCGCTGGGGAGAGGATGCGTGGCTGTGTCTGTGATGGCAGCCTGTGGGTAGCTGAGTGCTGCAGGACACAGCAGCGTAAGCCACTGGGGAGGGGAGGATGCACAGAGGTGTTGTGGCGGCTCTCGGGTAGCTGAGTGCCATGGGGTCCTGAGCCACTCTAGAGCTGACGGCAGGCAGGGGCGTGTCACCGTGACCGGACTCAGCCGGAGTGGTGGAAGTGGGTGGGTGGGTGGGCAGGTGTGCTCTTAAGGGCAGAGCACAGCATCCCAGGGTATCTTAGAATTGGCAGCTGCTACACTGAACAATTTTAAAAGTAAAGGAACAGTCTGCTGGTAATCTCTAAATAGGTGGGGAACTGTGACCCAATCCTGTCACTAAAAGCACAAAAACAGAAAGGCACCTAGTGCTGCCTTGTGAGTTACCTGGCCAGAGAGTGATTGACTTACACACCTCGTGAGCTGACTGGCCTACAGGCACCGGGCTGCTGTATGTAGCTAGTCACCTGAGTAGGGGCCAGGCCCTTCCTGGGAGGTTGGGCTGCATGGGCTCTGCAGGGCAGAGAAACTCACCAGCAGCTGCCTGCATACTTTAGGTCATGCAAGTAGCTTCAGCAGGGACATGAGGGGCTCAGATCCATGTGGTTGGGACCAAGTAACTCTCAGTAGCGTGGTTGACCTGCAGTGAGCACACAAGCCTCTGAGCCTACCTGCTGCTGCTGCTGCCATAGCTGCTGCAGTCACAAGCTACAGGGAGTGTGGGGTCTTTTCGTCACATGGGTGCCACTTATTAAGATCAATCTACGTGAGTCTATTAAATGTGTAACAGAATTTATTAAGATATACATCGAGAAAAAACATTCACAACTACAGAAAAGAGTAGATAGCAGAAGTCATCCTCTGATCTGATGGGGAGCAAATCCACCTCACAGCCAGGACCCGGGAGAAGGGGCTGTGTCCCCTCTCCATCTCTTTATCAGAGGTTACATGCAACTTCAGCAAGCACTGCCTCCTTTGGACCATATATCCAGGGTCGTGGGCAGAGCAAACACCACTACATCCACCTTAGGGGAAATTCTTTCCTCTGCAGCTCAGGACTTAAATCTAAGTTGTCCACAGTCCAAAAGCTTTTTACAGGAATCCTTTTCTGCTCATTTCTCTCATCTTTGATAGATTTTTCTCTGATTCTTCCCCAGAAGTTTACATTCATAGTTCCATGGTTGGAAATCAAGGACATAGTTCCTCTGTCTTGTTGCTTATTTTATTCTACCTTACTCTAAGTTTCTTTTTACCCAATATTCCTAATTCTACTCTTATTCTAAATTTCTTCTTACACTATATTCCTATATTCTACCTTACATTTTTTTCTTAATTTTTATAGGTAGAAATCAAGAGAGAGAAAAAAAGGAAAGAAACCTAGTTAGAGAGAAATATGCACTGCAGGTTCACTTTTCAACTTTGGCATTCTGCCACCTAATTTTCACTCCTGAGAATAAAATACCATCGCCTTTATATTTTAATTCCTTATCAAGCATGCCTCCTTATACCTGTGACACCCCCGACACTCCTTTTGCCAAGTCCCTGGCCCCTGTTCTTGGTGCCATCTGTGGGAGGCCAGCTGGGAGACTGGCTCCCACATTTTTCTCCAGGGTACTTTTGAGGAGGAATAAGAGATTTAGATAGAAGGATAGAAAGGAGAGAAACAGATAGAAACACAGGAGAGCCTCAGGAGGGCCTGGATCCCAATCCACTGGCCCCTCTTGTCTCTTCTAAAGGGCTATTTATAGGAATGCCAAGGGGTGGAGCAAAAGACCTCTCCCTAGCTCAGCCATGTGTAGATCCTTCCAATCACCTCGAAACCATGCACATGGTCAAGCAATTCTCTAATGCAGCTCTGCTGGGTATAGCAAACTCAGAACTCAGTAGGAAACCTTTGTGGGCCTCCACAGAGGGGTGAGGACTACATTTATCTATGAGTACAAGGACAAATACTTAGAGTGTAGTTAGGGATTATGTGGATTTAGTAAAGTGGTTGTAGGTTCTCCTTCAAGATCCACCAATTTGCTTGACCTGAGTAGTTACCTAGGTTTCCAGTACCAAGCATGATGCCACTCTTGTTAACCAGATCTTAAGTCCAATTGGAGAGTTTTTGATTACCACTAAGGTAGGCATGCCACCACTGCACCCTTAGGGTTATGGTGCAATGCTGGTTGTTGTCATGGCTCATGGGCATCATGACTAGGACTGTTGGTTGCTTTGTTTCTTTGGAAGCTCTCATGATACCTTCTGGTATCACCAAACTTGTCCCCAGAGAAAAAGGCACTCAAGTCAGTTTCAGCTCAGGGCTCTGTCTCTGAAGAATCTTAGCATGGTATCTTCAGCAACTGAGATTTGCCTTCCACCTTTGGTAAGCCCATTTTGAAAGAGTTTTATTTAATTTTAGATAGTTATTTCCTATTAGTATATAGTAATAAATGAAACTGGTCCATTGCTTTGTGTACACTATATTCTGATCACTCCTTAGAAACTGACATTGTTTTTACTGTTAAACTGATCATAGCACTTTATAAAAATAAAAATTCTTGAAAAACAAACATGGAATAAAAATGAAAATATTCTTAATTTTTTCTAGGATATGAACATGGAGGGCATAGCTAGGGGTGAGGAGTCCATACTGTCAGAGGTGAGAAGGAATGTGTGTTATGTGAAATGAATACATGCTTTAGAATATAAACTTTATTTTTTGTATCAGTGGCTAAAGTTTGAATAAGGGCACTGTCAATACTGCTGGTCTAGGATGGGCACGGTGGAGAACATATGTGATCACAGTGCCTGAGGAGGGAGAGTTGTGATTCCTGGCATGCCTAAAGCTACATAGTGAGACTGTTTTAACAAACAAAAACAAACCCCAAAACCCAATAAAAGTGACAGTCCAAATGGATAGTCTAATGATAAGTTGCAGGTGTATGGTGCTTTGAACTAACCCTCAAGGTGGATAAAATTTGGACATGCAGTATGTACTTGTATATTTTGAAGCACATAGAATTACTTACAAATTATGCATTTTGAAAATCTAAATGCATTAAAAATAACTTTTAGTGCTTCTTACTAGAATTCTTTTGTTACTAGGCATTGGTGAATTCTAATAATTAACAATGTTGAGTTTGGGTGCTTAATTCAGAAATTTTATATCAAAATTGCAAGAAAAATAGCATGTTAATTTTGAAGGCATTTGAAAGTAAAAACTTATTTTTATATGACTGTAGGAATCAGTGGACTCAGGCAAAACCTTAGCTGAAATCAGTGATCGGTATGGGGCACCTAACTTGAGCAGAGTGGAAGAGCTTGATGAGCCAATGTTATCTGATGTAAGTATCAAGATGTGTCATCCCAGAACAGATTATGTTTCATGTTGATAAAGTCTAGTATATATGAAGTGGGTAGGCAAATAGTACTTTTCCTTCATACAAAGAAGACCAAATGTGTGTGTGCTAACCAATTTTTTAAAAAATTTTACCTTTATGTATATGAGTATTTTGACTGTATGTATATATCTATGTGCCATATTTGTGCAGTGTCAGTGGAGGCTGGAAGAGGTACCAGATCCCCTGGGACTGGAATTACAAAAGTTTGTGAGTGCCATATAGGTGTGCTAGGATTCAACCTCAGGTCTTCTAGAAGAACATCCAGTGCTCTTGACCGTGGAGCCACTTTCCTAGCCCCATTAACCAGATTTTTAACTGGTGCTCTGCCTGTCAATGAGCCAGAAAGTGGCATATCTCTATTTACATCTATAGCATCATATCTGCCTATGCTTCTATCTAAATCCAATCATCTGTATCTGTGTATTTTACAGTTAGATTTTGGAACCATCAAAACCTCTTAAAAATACATGTGTGAAATATTTTTTTGAAATACACAATCCTTAAATTCAATAGAGAAAGAATCATTCAGTATGTAAGTGAATATGTTTACTTAACAAGCATGTTTTGATGTCTGTGTGTCAGGCATTGTACCTGATATAGTGGGCAATAAGGTAGTTTTCACCTCATGGAGTTTCTTGCCTAGAAGAAAAATACAACCAGAGTGAATCTAGTGCTTATCATTAGAATGACCAGGAAATCTACTGGCCATACCAGTGTAGTTTATGACTGAAAGAAGATCCATGAATAGCTCACTCAGATCAGCAGGGGCATTGTCCTACCAGGAGGGCAATGTGATGGCTAATCTTGGTTATCAACTTGATACACCTGGAAATGAATTTGAATTGCCTCAATCAGATTAGCCTGTGGGCATGTCTGTGGGGGGCATTTTCTTGATTGCTAATTGATATAGGAGAGTACAGCCTGCTGTGGGCTTGGGCTGAATAAGGAACAAGGAAAGTGAGGGAACGAGCCAGTAAATAGTGGTCTGGCCTAGTCTAGTCTTCTATGGATTCTGCTTCAGTTCTTGCCCCAGCTTCCTTCAGTGATGAATTGTGATCTGGAAGTATAAGCTGAATAGCCCGCTCCTTCCATGTTCCTTTGGCCATGGTGTTTGTCTCAGCAACAAAAAGAAAGCGAACTAGAAGAGGCACATCTTGTTACTTCATTCTGTGGGCACTGAGAGGGTGGGACATGATGAGGACAGAGGAACCTGGATGTAGAAAGAATTTCAGGCAGAAATCGTAAGAAGGGTAAAGACCCAGGTAGGAGAGAGAAAAGAATGGTGCTTAGGGCAATGAGGGAGGAGGTCAGGAGACAGTCGGGGCCAGACCCTGAAAGGACTTGTAATTCCTGCTCTGGGCCTCAGACATTTTCCTTCAGGCAGTGGGAGACTTATCTCATCAGAGCTGCACTTTAGAAAGAGCATCTGACTACAACCAGGGAGGAGAATGGGGAAGAAGGTGTGAGTAGATTTGGTAGTAATCCAGAAAGAGCACAGGTGCTAACTGAGCTAAGGGAGGGAGCAAGGTGTTAAGGAGAGTGTACAGAGTGAGAAGGCCTGCAGGCTGGAGCGGGAGGAACCACACAGAATTGCAATATTTAATGTTGGCTGTTGGAAGTAGAGAAAAAGATGAATTTAGGAGTTTTCAAGAGCCATTCGCAGCAGGGAGCTACAATCAATGAACAGTTCCATTCCTTTGAGCCATGTGTCATTGGGAAGGGGTTATAAGAGACCAAGCAAGGAGATTTGGAACTAGAGAAGGCAAAAAGCAGCCAAACCACCCAGGGTTCGAGTTGAGCTTCCCAGGGCTAGGATCATGGTAAAACTTAAAGGCAGGGAAGAGGAAAGTGTCAGATCACATGTGCATGTCACTTAGACAGATGGGACTTAGGAGCAGAGGGAGTTATTGGGAGTATATAAGGATTTTTATCAGGTAGAGAGTTAGAGTGAAGTAGGTATTCAAAGGGGAGACCACATGGCAGTGGTTACTGTCATCTGTATGCAAGACGACCAGGGCTAGAGAGCACAGAGGTGACCAGAATGGACTAGAGTTTGGTTTAAGAGATAGAGAGAGGGTGTTAAGAATGAACCAATGGCTGAGGGGCCCCCAACTGGATCGGGCCCTCTGAATGGGTGAGACAGTTGATTGGCTTGATCTGTTTGGGAGGCATCCAGGCAGTGGGACCGGGTCCTGTGCTCATTGCATGAGTCGGCTGTTTGAAACCTGGGGCCTATGCAGGATCGCTTGGCTGGGCCTGGGAGGAGGGGACTGGACCTACCAGGACTGAGTCTACCAGGTTGATCTCAGTCCTCGGGGAAGGCTTTGCCCTGGAGGAGGTGGAAATGGGGGGTGGGCTGGGGGGAAGGTGAGGGGGGCGGGAGGGGGGAGAACAAGGGAACCCGTGGCTGATATGTAGAACTGAATTGTATTGCAAAATAAAAATAAAAAAAATTAAATAAAAAAAAAGAATGAATCCTAGCCTTTTGTCTCGAACAGCTGAGCTGTGAGTCTTATCATTGGATGAGTTGGTGAACATAAAAGAGGAAGAAGGGTTTTTGAACAGGGAGGCTTTAGTCATGGAGATGTTGAATTTCAGGTGACTCTGAGATATGCACATGACCCAAACCCACTTTATGTATGGTATAGCTCTGGTAGGGATGGGAGGGCCATGCAGAAGATTCAAATTCAGCAACCAGTGTGTTCACTGAGCCAGGGAAGGGAGCATGCTGTTGAGGAATGAATGCAGCATGTGAAGGTCCATCTGTGAAGGAACCACTAGAAATTCCAGTAAGAGGTGCCTGAACTGGAGACATGACTACACCCTTAAAGGCCAAGGCTCACAATCAACAGGACAAGGGTTCTGCTCCCAAAGGGAGGTGGCTCTGGAAAGGTTGTGCCTCTTAGGAAGGATGAGAAAGACAAGGATAAGACTTCGTTTGGGAACATGAAGTATAATTATATACTACTTGGGTACTCTTCTAAAATAATCTGGAACTCAGAAAACTTCCTTTACAGGATCACATTGATATTACTTAAGCTCTGTTTTCTTTTCTTTGTGTCTTTTCATTGTAGTAAAGTTTATTTACCCTGTATTTTTCTTTTAGGTTGCATTAAACATTGATCAAGATTTGTAGGACCAACCAACTTCAAAGAATTATTGTCTACCTGTTTCGAACTTCAAATCCCAAGGGCCCTAATATGTATTTTCTTCCTCCAAACTTGAACTCTACTCCTCCCGGCTAACTTTATAAATGGGATTCAAAGGTATCCTTAAAATACAGTTTAGATTTCTCAGTTCATCCGGTTACTTGTGTGATTTATTGTGGACAGAATTTGCTGAAGCAACAAAAAGAGGCAAGAGATGGACCAAAAGAATGTATATCTCTACAAAGAACAAGAATGCTTGGAAAGAAAGTTCTAGAAAAGAAACTACTACTGTACAAAGGATGGAGGTCTTGAGTTTTAACAAGTCTCAGATATTGCCTCTCCTTTATGAATGAACTGAAAAGCATTTCCCAGGTTGCTGGCAGGTGGAGCCTCATAGGAACACTTAATCAAACTTCCATGATGTAGCCAGATTCGATGGGAGTGTTTCCCCCATTGCTCTGTTGGTGGCTCTTCTCAAGCTTGGCTTGACTATCTACACTCAAGAACAGGTCTGGAGTTTCTTTTTTTTTACTCTCTGTACAGTTGAGTATCTAGGTTCTGTCTTTCTTTTCAGGGTTTGTGAAAGTAGGGTTGTTGAAATGAGTGTTCACACAGAGCAAGGGAAGTGGGAAAGTCTTGGAGGGCCTGGAGCACACTTTTTCTTGATCAGCCAGTAGGCTCAGGCACTATGACACCATGGTCAGACAGATCTTTTGGTCCATTTGAAGTTTCAAGATACATCTAGAGCTCTCGGGAGAACTTCCTGAATTCTCCCAAATCCAAGGCTATGGTGTTGAGATTTTAGTTCTCAAAGACGTGGGTATAAAACCACAAATGCTAGAAAGAAACCATTTTGTTTTTTAAATATATTTTGTATATAATATCATTTTCCCACACCATTGTTCAGATGGAAATTGAAACAGGAGAAGTTACTTATTTTATGAAATGTATATATTGTCTTGTCATTTCTGTTCTATACATTTTTCACAAAAAGCTCTGGAGAGATGTGTTCTCTGGGACTATGGAAGGCAGTATGGTCTAGTATGGTTCACCATCATTCACACCCCTGAGTGAGAATCTGTCAGAGGAGGGAACTATGGATTTGCAGGTCTACCCAGCCTCAGATAACTCCATCGTGGGAGGCTGGAGGTCAAAGACTGTGGGAGCCCACAAAGATTCCAACTTGTGGTTTGATTCAAGGTCAGAGAGTCAGAGTTTATGTTGTTCTCCAACGATGCATAATAAGGTGTAAAGACATAGTTACCCAATGTCTTATACTTCAAGGCCTAATCACAAGAAGCTTTGCCGTGAGGCATGGTTACCAGGTGTTTTGAAGGGTCTACATTTGGTTGTATGTTGTGCTTTGATCTTGAAATGGGGAGGTTTTTCCCTCTCCCCTTGCTAGTGTATAAAAAGCCCATTAGAAATAAACTTGAGGCTGCTGGATATTGACCCAGGGACCTCCTGAAGCTATCTTGTGTCTCTTTTTCTTCATCTACTTCTATATTTCCTATCTAGCATTTCTCAATTCCTCACTCCCCCGCTTCAAGGGACCTTATGATGGACTGGGGCTGGACCCCAACCAACACTGGACCCTAAAAAGAGACAGGAAGGAGGTGGGGGGTGATTTTTGGACTTTGTACAGTCTGGAACAGTCCTCAAAGGGTATGGGTGAGAGCTAGATTTGGCTGGTCATAGGCTGAGACATTGTGGTTCCAAATAGGGTACAGTTTTATTTAAAGTAGTCCTGGCCAGAACTCAGTGAGAGAGGGAGAAGCAGATATTCTTTGCCCTAAAGGGAGATGGGTCTCAAATAGAGTGGCTAATCCTGACTGTCCACCAGAGTCATAGACTTTCTTGCTGATGGCAGCTAGGCTCATTTTGGCCGACTGTCTTTGCTGCTGGACCATTTCTGGGCTTATTATGAAGGGATCTAGATCTTCCATCTGAATCAGACTGAGGGATGGCAAGGAATCCAGAAGAGGAGAAAATCGATGGGAAAATGGTGGCTACAAAGGATGTAAGCACAGGTGATTGTCTTAGTTAGGGTTTCTATTACTGTGAAGAGACACCAAGAACATGGCAACTCTTATAAAGGAAAACATTTAATTGGGGGTAGTTTGCTTACAGTTCAGAGGTTTAGTCTGTAGCTAGAGTTTTCCTTTCTGGCCCACAGTCAGGACAAATCTCTCTCACCTGCCAGTCCCACAGCCACTCAAACCTGACCAAGTAAACACAGAGACTTATATTGGTTACAAACTGTATGGCCACGGCAGGCTTCTTGCTAACTGTTCTTACAGCTTAAATTTTCCATTAATCTATACCTTGCCACATGGCTCGTGGCTTACTGGCATCTTCACATGCTGTTTGTCATCGTGGCGGCTGGCAGTGTCTCTCTGACTCAGCCTTCCACTTCCCAGCTTTATTCTCCTCCTTGTCCCGCCTATACTTCCTGCCTAGCCAATGGCCAATCAGTGTTTTATTTATTGACTAATCAGCAACACATTTGACATACAGACCATCCCACAGCATTAGTCCATTATCATCATGGTGGAAAGCAAGGCAGCATGCAGGCAGACATGGTGTTGGAAAAAGAACTGAGGGTTCTTATATCTTGAGCTGCAGGCACCAGGAAGTGATCTGTCTCACTGGGTGTGGCTTGGGCACATATGGGACCTCAAAACCTGCCTCCACAGTGACACACTTTCTTCAACAAGACCACACCTACTCCAACAAGGCCAACCTCCTAATAGTGCCACTCCCTTTGGGGGGCCATTTTCTTTCAAACCACTACAGTAATTAATTTTTCCCACTGCAAAAGATTAGACTGTAGCTGGAGTTTTCCTGCCTGACCCACAGTCAGGACAAATCTCTATCACCTACCAGTCCCACAGCCACTCAGACCCGACCAAGTAAACACAGAGACTTATACTGGTTACAAACTGTATGGCCATGGCAGGCTTCTTGCTAACTGTTCTTACAGCTTAAATTAATCCATTTCCATTTATCTATACCTTGCCACATGGCTCGTGGCTTACCGGCATCTTCACATGCTGTTTGTCATCCTGGCGGCTGGCAGTGTCTCTCTGACTCAGCCTTCCACTTCCCAGCTTTATTCTCCTCCTTGTCCCGCCTACACTTCCTGCCTAGCCAATGGCCAATCAGTGTTTTATTTATTGACTAATTAGCAACACATTTGCCATACAGAACATCCCACAGCATTAGACCATTAAAATGAAAATGTTTGCAGGCACACTGAATCTGGAATTAAAGGATGATGATATTCAGCAAAATTAAGGATTAAGTTGAACATCAGTACTACAAAAAAGTACACACCATTAAGCAGCTTTGGTCTATTCCACCAGCTTTCCACTCTCTCCATTCTGAGTACCCCTAGGTTAGCCAGAGGAGAGAATTTTGAATGTCATCACCATAAAAAAGTGGTAAAAATTCAAGGTAACAGAAACATTGATTGTTCTGTTAATTACTACCTATATGTGTGTGTGTGTATGTATATACATATATCACACATGAATAACACCTCATAAATAATGCAAACTATGTGTTATTAAAATAAAATACTTTAGGCCTGTGTGACAGCTCAGCAAGTAAAAGCACCTGCCATCAAGCCTCGCTATTTCAGTTCGATACCCTGAAACCACACGATGGAAGGAAAAAACATTCCTGCAAGTTTGACAGTCACATGCACACAGCATGTGTGTGTCTATGTATGTGCATGTGTGTGCGCACACAGAAAATATACAATAATAAATTTAATTTCCCCTTTTATTGAAAATAGATTCTTTTCTCATATAGTATATCCTAATTCCAATTTTCCCTCCCTCTACTCCTCCTAGTTCTCCCCACCTCCCCTCCCATCCGAATCCAATCCCTTTCTGTCTCTAATTACAAAAGAACAGATTTCTAAGAGATAACACCAAAACATAGCAAAATAAAATATAATAAGATAAAACAAAACCATCACATCAAAGTTGGACAAGGCAAACCAACAAAAGGAAAAAAGCCCAAGAGAAGGCACAAGAATCAGGGACCCATTCTTTTCACACACTCAGGAGTCCCATAAAAACAGAAAACTGGAAGCTATAATATATACACAGAGGACCTAGTGCAGACCTACACAGGCCCTGTGCATGCTGCTTCAGTCTCTCTGAGTTCACATGAGTTTTGCTCAGTTGATTTAGAGGGTCTTGTTTTCTTTTCTTTTCTTTTTTCTTTTTTTTACTTTTCTATAGTACTTTTTTTTTTTATTTTGCAATACAATTCAGTTCTACATATCAGCCACGGATTCCCTTGTTCTCCCCCCTCCTGTCCCCCTCACCTTCCCCCCAGCGCCCCCCATTCCCATCTCCTCCAGGGCAAAGCCTTCCCCACAGACTGAGTTCAACCTGGTAGACTCAGTCCAGGTAGGTCCAGTCCCCTCCTCCCAGGCCGAGCCAAGCAATCCTGCATAGGCCCCAGGTTTCAAACAGCCAACTCATGCAATGAGCACAGGACCCGGTCCCACTGCCTGGATGCCTCCCAAACAGATCAAGCCAATCAACTGTCTCACCCATTCAGAGGGCCTGATCCAGTGGGGACCCCTCAGCCATTGGTTCATAGTTCATGTGTTTCCATTCATTTGGCTATTTGTCCTTGTGCTTTATCCAACCTTGGTCTCAACAATTCTCGTTCATATAAACCCTCCTCATTCTCGCTAATTGGACTCGCAGAGATATCTTGTTTTCTTGATGTCCTCAATCCCCTCTGGCTCTTACACTCTTTCTGACTCCTCTTTCTCAGGATTTCCTGGGTGCTGAAGGGAGGGATTTGATGGAGACATCCTATTTAGAGTGGAGTGTTTAGAGTGTTCCAAGTTTTCTCTCTCTCTCTCTCTCTCTCTCTCTCTCTCTCTCTCTCTCTCTCTCTCCACATAATGTCTGTGGGGCTCTGTATTTGTTCTCATCTTCTACAGAAGGAAGCTTATTTGATGATGGCCGAATAAGGCATTGATCTATGAGTATAGCAGAATATCATTAAGAGTCATTTTATCACTCTTTTTTTTTATTTTTTAAAGACTGTTGGGCTACCTAGTCTCTGGTTCTTGGTCACCCAAGCAGTGTTGGATATGGGTTCCAACTCATGGAGTGGGCCATAAGTTAAATCAGACATTGGTTGGTTACTCCCACAAACTTTGTGCCACCATTGTCCTGGCATATTTTGTGGGGAGGACAGATTGTAGATGAAAGGTGTTGTGGCTGGGTTGGTCTTTCTCTTTCTTTTTTTTGGTAACCAGTGGAGTACCTTCCTATACCGAAGCCACTATAACTTAGGGGTGAAGGCTCTAATGTAGGCACCTGCTTGACTTTTCCATGTTCAGTAAGTTGTATGGGTGTTGTCTTCAGCAATGGGGCCTTGCTGTCAGTTTGTGGAGAACAGCCTATTGTCTTGGCAACAGTCTAAGTTATTTAGGAATTTTCATGGGACCCTTTTAGCCAACAACTCAATGGAATGTAATCAAGTCCCAGTACTGGATGCTTTGTTTGGTTTCACGTGTTGGCCAGTTGGGACTCTGTCTCCCCATTATTTGGAGACCTCAGAGTATTACCCTCATATATTTTATGAAGTTCCCACTGCAACAAGTTTCCATACTGTCCCTCAAATGCCCCTCAATTCTAGCTTTCTCTCCTGCAATCCCTCCCTCAACTCCCTCTACTCTCCTCTCCTCCCCACCTGATCCTCCCATTTCCATCCCCCCTTCCCCATTCCACCCTTAAAATCTATTCTATTTCTGCCTCCCAGGGATATACATGTGTCTCTCCTAGACCCTTACTCTGTGCCTAGCCTCTCTGGGTTAGTTATCATTTACTATGGCTTGGTTATCATTTACTTCACAGATAATATCCACATACATATTTATCTTTCTGGGTCTGAGTTATCTTATTCAGGATGATTTTTTTTCTAGTACCACCCATTTGCCTACAAATTCCATGATGTCATTTTTAATCGCTCAGTAATACTCCATTGTATAAATGTACCACATTTTCTTTATCCATTCTTCTGTTGAAGGGCATTTGCGTTGTCCCCAATTTCTAGCTATTCTGAATAGAGCAACGATGAACATGGCTGAGAAAGTGTCCTTGTGGTGGGATGAAACATCCTTTGGGTATATGTCCAAGAATGGTATGACTGATCCTGAGATAGATCGATTCCCATCATTCTGAGCAACTGTCACACTGATTTCCATAGTGGCTGTACAAGTTTGTCTTCCACCAATGGATGAGTATTCCCTTTATTCCACATTCTCTCTAGCATGAACTGTCACTTGTGTTATTGATCTTAACCATTCTGACAGGGGTAAGATTAAATCTCAAAGTAATTTTGATTTCCATTTCCCTGATGGCTAAGGATGTTGAACATTTAAGCGTTTCTCGGCCATTTGATTTTCCTCTATTGAGATTTCTTTGTTTAGATCT